TCGCGTCCGCACCATCAACCGTGGGCGCCGCCGCCCTCCGCGGCGTGGAGCGCGGGCGCGACGCCGCCGCCGCCGCCGCCGCCGCCGATCGCGGGCCCGGGAGCCGCCGCGCGCGCGGGCGCGTACCCGACCCCGCCGGAGATGATGCCCCAGGGCGCGTGGGATCCATATCATCATCACCATCACCCCTCTCCGCGAGACCATCACCAGGGACAACACCACCCGTACCCGTTCACGCCGATGGCGGGGAGCGAGGTCGGAGGCGTCGGCGTCGGCGTCGGAGGAGGCGGGTTCGCGAGCGGTGCGCGGGACGGCGCCGCCGCCGCCGCCGCGCCGCCGTCGCTCTTCGTCCCCGCCGGCGCCGGCGCGCCGGTCCCGCCGACGCGCGCCGCGCCGCCGCCGCCGAGCGGGGTGCCGAGCGGGGTGCCGAGCGGGGTGCCGAGAGGGGTGCCGAGTGGCGGCACGCCGCCGCCGCCGCCGATCACGCTGCGCGGCCGCGAGCGCTACTGCTCCGGCGGCGCGTGGGTGGGCCCCGCGCCGGAGTGGCCCAAGCCCCCGTCGGACGTGTCGATGCGCGACGCGGACGTCTCCGCCGTCGTCGACCCTCGCCGACGCGCGATGATCGCGACGCTGACACGGAAGTTCGACGCGGCGATGGCGGTGGTGGATGCGAGCGCGGCGGGCGGCGGCGCGACGGGGGCGATCCAGATCCCGAATCCCGCCGCGCGGAGGAAGGAGCTCGACGGCGTCTCGCGGAGACTCGGCGGGTTGTTCGCGTTTTTGAACGCCGCCGAGGCGTATAAGAGGAGAGGGACGGGGCGGACGGACGCGGCCGCGGACGCGACGGACTCGGGGGAGGAGGACCCGCGCGCGCGTCTGTCCGAGCCCGTCGCGGACGCGCTGTGTCGTCTGTGCGAGCGCGTGGACGCGGGCGACGCGCGCGGCGCCGACGCCGAGTTGCTGCGCGTCTCGACGCATCACTGGGACGAGGCGTCGTGGTGGTTCCCCGCTTTGAAGCGGCTCGTGAAGTCGTGACGTGACGCGACGGGAACGGCGACGGCGAGGGCGAGGGCGAGGGCGAGGGCGAGGGGGGAGCGCGGGCGTCGGCCGCCGCCGCCGCGCGAGGACGGGAGAGACGGAAGGAAGGAGGCGCTTAGCGGCGGCGCGCGGTACAGTACGAGTACTGTAGTAAAAAACGGTTCGCGAACGACGACGCGCGACGTAATCGTGGACCGACGACCGACGACCGAGGGACGGAGGGCGTCGCGCGCGCGCGCGCGCGTCCCGCGCCCCGCCTCCGCCTCCGCCTCCGCGCGGCGATCGAACGACGAGAGCGCGGAGAGGAAGTCCGCATCCATCCACAGTCCGCGAGTACGCTCCGGCCGCGCGCGGGAGGCGCGACCGTTCGTTCTCCACGATACCAAAATGCCGCGTCATCACGCGCATACGTGGATAAAGTGCACGTGTGTTTGTTAGCGATAAAAATCTTTATTTATTTGCATGGGCAATTAGTGAATCTTTTTCGCATAAATTTCTAGTAACTGTATGCGCAACAAGAAAATCTTGAAATGGCTGAAGTGGCGAAAATGGGTTCTCAAGTCGCGAGAATGCGCGGCGTTGATTGGCTGAGAGGTCTTTTTTCGCGTTTTCCCCCCTTTGAAAGGAGAAATTTAGTCACGTTTTTCACTTTTGTGATCACAGATTCGAAGAAACCTAGCTGCCGCCGCGATTTCTTTCCAACGGGGCACACGTTCGCGCGCGCGACGCACAGCCCGCGCACGCGCGAGGACTGATCGCGCCGCGGCTCGTCGCCTCCCCCCCCGCGCGAGAAGCCGCGGCTCGGGGGCGCGAATTCGTCCTCGGTCGTAAACCCGCGCGCGCGCCTCGGATCCCTCTTCTCGAATACGACCCCCGAGGTTTCTCGAGATCTTAGAGGCCGCGCGCGAAAATCCAAGCGCCGCGCGGGATGGCGCGCGCGCTCGAGGAACGCGCGCCGTCGCCCCACGCGAAGCGCGCGCGCGTCGACGAAGACGCGCCCGCGCCCCCGCCCGAACCCGCGCCCGCCGACGACGCGCGCGCCGACGCGCCGCCGTCGAACGAGGAGGACGAAGACGAGCGGGAAGATAATTCCGCCGTGGACGCGACGACGACCGTAACACCTGGAAATTATGCCAAAGAAGAAGACGAAGACGGCATGATGTCCGCGTCCACCGACGACGACGACGACTCGCACGACGACGACGACGACGAAGCGCGCGCGCCGCCGGTGCCTCCCTCCGAGATCCATCCCCCCGCGGGAGCGCAAACCGACGCGCGAGCGCCGGACGCGGGAGGAGCGGCGTCGGCGAAGCCGCGTCGCGGGAGGCCTCCGATCGTGACGCAGATGAACGCCGCGTCGACGCTCTCGAGGCTCTCCGCGCAGCAGCTCGGGCTCGCGGCCGAGGCGAGGTTGGGGCCGAAATGCCAAGAAGACTCGGCGCTCATGGGCGTCGGAAAGAGCGGACAGCCGATCCGAACGTCCAAGTACCGCGGCGTGCGATACCGCAAAAACACCGGACCGCGGCCGTGGCAGGCGCACCACCGGAACAAGCACATCGGGTGCTACGCGACCGAGGTCGAGGCTGCGCACGCGTACATGCGCTCCGCGGGAATCACCGAACCTATCATGCGCGGGTACCGCAAGCGCGACCGGAAAGGGAGCGTGTCGAAGAAGACGCGCAGGGAGGCGCTGACGCTCGCCGCCGAGCGCGACGCCGCCGACGCGCTCGGCGGCGGGTTTCAACAAGTCCATGGCATCAGAGGCGCCGACGGCGTCGACCCGAACGGCGAGCGCGCGGCGCGAATCGCGGCGATCCAGAGCATCGCCGCCGGCGCGGGCGGCGACACGGCCGTGATGCGCGCGATGAACCGCGCGCGCGAGGTGGCCGCCGTGAACAGCGGCTACGCGAACGCCGTCGCGGGGCCCCCCGGGCATTGGAGCGGCGGCGGCGGCAATGCGAGCCAGGCCGCGCTCGCCGCGCACCGGCTGCAGATCGCGCGGCAGATGCTCGGCGGCGGCGAAGTCAGCGCGCTGCAGCGCGCGCAAGTCGCGGCGTTGCTCGCGGCGGCGCCGAACAACGCCGGCGCGTCCGGCGTCCATCAACTCGCGGGCGGCGGCGCCGCCGCCGCCGCCGGGGCGGGAACCGGCTTCGATGCGAACGCGATCCAAGCGTTGCTCGAGTCGGCGGCGCGCGCGCCGGCGGGAGTCTCCGGAGTGGGGGCAGGAGGGATGGACGCGATGCTGGCGCAGCGGGCGTACCAGGACCACCTGGACGCGAAGATTCGCGCGCTCGAGATTCAAGCCGAGCTGGAGAAGACGCGCGCGATGCGTTCCGAGTTGGCGTATCGCTTGTCGTTGATGCAGGATCAAGCCCAGGGGCCCGCGTCGTTCGCGGGCGGCGGGGGGTTACAGTGAAAGATGTTTATAGATGACGTTATGGACGACCGATGACCTCACGCGTGCACACGATGGGGGCCCGGGCGGCGGGCGGGCGAAGAGAGAGACGATTAAGGAATAGTGGGGAGATATAAAGAAAGAGGGGAAGGGCACGCGAGGAAGGTACGGCCACGCGGGGAGTACAACGTAGTATTTTTGTATTTTTATTTTTCACGTGCAAGAAACCTATGTACCTGCGGTGCGTGCGAGAGTTCAATAAAGTTCATCGGTCAGTTGAAAGTGGACGCGATCAAATGTTGAAACCGATCGGTGGGTGAAAAACCTTACAGCGCTGATCACGTACAGAACGAACGCACCTCATCATCTGCGCTCCGCGAAAGACCACGGCAATCGCCGCCGCGCCCGCTCTCGCGTTTCGCGCCGCCGTCGCCGCGCGCGCTCCGCGGGATGGCGCGCCCTCCCCCCGGCGCGATGATCCCCACCCCCTTGGACGACCGCCCCGACAAGGCGACGAAGAAGAAACGACGCCTCGACGCCGCCGCGCGCGCGGCCGAGGCGCTCGACACGTCCGTCGCGCGAGCGCCGCATTCCGCCGCCGACGACGTGATCGAGGACATGGCGCGACGAGAGAAGCGCCTCAAGAAGGAGCTCAACGCGCGCGCGAAGAAGTTCGCCAAGGGCGAGCCCGTGGCGAAGACGTCCAAGATCGCGGACCGCAAGACCAAGGCGCACGTGCGCTACGCCGAGAAGCTCGCGGACGACGCGGCGACGAGCGCGGCGCTCTTCGAGAAGTGGCTCCTCCCGCACACCCCCGGAGCGATCGTCGCCGAGGGCGACGAGCGCACGTTCCGGTTCAAGCAGGCGGACATCGCGGCCGCGGTGGACGTCAACGCGCAGAGGAAGGCGTTCGACCTGGAGCTCCCGACGTTGGGGCCGTACGCGGTGGACTTCACACCCAACGGGCGAGACCTCGTGCTGGGCGGAAGAAGAGGGCACCTCGCGATGGTGCGTTGGGGGAGCTACCGCCTCGTCGCGGAGGAGCACGTGAAAGAGGTGGTGAAGGACGTCAAGTTTCTTCACAACGGGCAGTACTTCGCGGCGGCGCAGCGGAAGTACGCGTACATCTACGACAAGCGAGGGATCGAGATTCACTGCCTCAAAGACCACGTCACGCCGAACGCGTTGGAGTTTTTGCCGCATCACTTTCTCCTGTGCTCCATCGGCGAGCAAGGCGTGCTGCGGTATCAAGACGTCACGCACGGCGCGCTCGTGGCGCAGCATCGCACGAAACTCGGCGCGTGCGAGGTCATGCGGCACAACCCTCAGAACGCGATCGTGCACTGCGGGCACGGCAACGGGACGGTGACGCTGTGGTCGCCCAACGCGGGACACGCGCAAGTGAAGATGCTGTGCCACCGCGGGCCGATCAGGCGCGTATTCTTTTCTTCACGCCGGTCCCCGTACGACCGCGTTCGCGTGGTGCACGCCGTTCCTTGAAGAGTTTCTCTCCCGTCGATCGTCTCTCTCCGTCCATCACCCCCCGCTTTTAATCCCATCCCGACGCGCCGCGACGCCTTTCAACTTCGACCGACCGACGCCTTTCGACTCCAATCCCCTCATCGATCAAATCACAGATCGCTCGCGATCGACCCCGCGGAGGGGCGGTACATGGCCACGAGCGGCGCGGACGCGCAGGTGAAGATATGGGACCTTCGCACGTACAAAGAGGTCCACGCGTACTACACGCCGACGCCGGCGACGTACGTGGACATATCCCAGCGAGGGATGCTCGCGCTGGCGTACGGAGGGAGAGTGCAGGTGTGGGACGCCGCGCTGTCGGGCCCGAAGCAACAGTCGCCGTACTTGAACCACCAGCTCCTGAACGGGCGCAAGGTGCGCAACTTTCGATTCGCGCCGTACGACGACGCGCTCGGGGTCGGGCACAGCGGCGGGTTCACGAACCTGCTCGTTCCGGGCGCGGGCGAGCCCAACTACGACTCCATGGTGGCGAACCCGTTCGAGACGCGAAACCAGCGAAGAGAGCAAGAAGTGTCGCAGGTCATGGACAAGCTTCCGCCGGAGACGATACAGCTCGACGCGGACGCTGTCGGGAAGCTGCGCGCGGTTCCGAAGGAGGTCCAGGCGGAGCGGAGGAAGGCCGCGATCGAGGCGCAGCTCGCGGCGCGGCGCGAGCAGAGGGACGCGAACGCGGAGAAGACGCGCATGAAGGGGAAGAACAGGGTCTCGAAGCGGTACCGGAAGAAGCAGCAAAACGTCGTGGACGATAAAAAGTTGCGCTCGCGGATGAAGGCGGAGGAAGCGAAGCGGAAGAGCGCGGCGGCGAAGGCGAGCGGGGCGCGGCGAGCGGGCGACGGCGCGGAGGGCGGGGGCGCGATGCCGGGGCAGAGCGCGGGCGCGGCGAGCGACGCGCCGGAGGCGCCCAAGGACGTGAGCAAGGCGCTGAGAAGGTTCTACAAGTGACAGACTTTGACGCGTCGACGTTGAAAGGGAAGCGCGGGTGAAGAGTGACGACGGGAAAAGTCCTTAAGGAACGGCGTTCACATCGCGAACGGGGTCGTATGGGGACCAGTGTGTGGGACGCGCCCGGCGAGACGGGGAGGGAGGACGCGATTAGAAGACAGTAGCTCGAGACAACGAACGTTGTATTCAATAGGACGCGCACTCGTGCCGAAGACGCGAACGACCAGATGATACGCCTGTCGTGCTGTGCGACTGGGCGAGTCGAGGGAGACCGCCGCCGCGACTGAAAGTGAACGCTTCGTCCTTTCGACGACTGCTAACGCAACATGCACCGATGCCCTAATAATGTGAAATCGCGCGCACCTTCCCGCCAGATCTCGGCGCCGCGGCCACCCCCGTCCGCCCCCGCGGGCGTCATGAGCGAGCACAAGAAGCTCGCGCGAACGCTCGCGCGCGCCTTCTACCGCCACTCGTCCACGCGCGAGAGGCTCGCGCGCGCGGGAAACGCCAAGCACGACAACACCGCGATCGTCGAGGTGCTCGTCGACGCGCTCACGCGACGCGCGTGGGTTCGCGAGGACGACCTCGCGGCGTCGGTCCTCCTCAGCGCGAAGCAGGTCCGAAAGGCGCTGCATTACCTCGAAGAGCAGAAGCTCGTGACGCGCGCGCACGTCAAGGAGAAGGACAAGGAGCGGATCGCGCGGACGAGGCTGCGGGCGGAGGAACAAAAAGTCGACGATCACGTCCTCAACGATCGCCTCAACTCCGTGGAGAAGAAGGTCGTGACGTACGTGCGCTTGGACTACAGCCGCGTCGTGGACGCCGCGACGCTGCGCATCGGGACCGCGCGGAGGAACCTGAGGCGGAACATCGAGCGCGGGCCCGCGAGCGTGCTGTACCGGTGCGTCAGCGAAGACGACGTGTGCGGCAAGCGGTACACGTCGCTGGACGCCGCGAGACTGTTAGGCGCGTTCTGTCTCGCGCCGGTCCCCGTACGACCGCGTTCGCGCGGTGCACGCCGATCCTTAAGGACTTTCTCTCCCGGCGTCTCTCCCCGCCCGCTCCTCGCGTTCGATCCCCGACCGCGACGCCTTTCAACGCCAACTGACGCCTTTGAACTCCACCCCGACGTCGCTTCGAACGATGGAACGGCCCTCAGACGCGCAATCCATGACGTTTCGGTGCCAGGTGTGCAGGTGCGAGGTCGTGCAGCTCGGCGGCGGCGAGGACGGCGCGCCGCCGGAGCCGAAGACGAAAGAGGGCATGAAGAAAGCGCTCGCGGACTTCGAGCGCGAGGTTTCGATCGTGCAGAAGCAGCTGGACAGGTGCGTTCTATACACTGGTCCCCATACGACCCCGTTCGCGTGGTGAACGCCGATCCTTAAGGACTTTTCCCGGCGTCTCTCTGCGCCCACCCCCCGCTTTCAATCCCCGCCCTCGGCGCCTTTCAACTTCAACTGACGCGTTTCAACTCCACCCCGACGTTCGCTTGTATAGGGTCAAGGGAAAGACGCCGCCGCAATACGGGACGCTCAACGAGTGGACGCGCGCGATGAAGATCCGCGCGGCTCGCGCCGGCGACGCCGACGGCCACCACCACCACGGCGGCGGCGGCGGAAGAGGCGGTTTGGGCGTCCAGACCGACGACCTGGAGGACACGAAGTTCGAGGTGACGTTGGGGCTGACGAAGGAGCAGGAGGAGGCGATGGAGGCGGAGGCGAACGCGCCCAAGGCACAGCCGGAGTGGCTGCGGCGGAATCAGGCGCGTTCTCCTCACACTGGTTCCCGTACGACCGCGTCGGCGTGGTGCACGCCGATTCTTAAGGAGTTTGTCTCCCGGCGTTTGTTTCTCTCCGCCCACCCCTCGCTCACAATCCCGACACACCTCGACGCCTTTCAACTCCGCTTCTGACGCCTTTCAACTCCGCCCCGACGTTCGCTCGTATGGGCAACGACCCTCAGTTCGAGGAGGAGGACGCGGCGCTCGCGGGGGGGGCGAAGGCGGCGGAGCCGAGCAGGGCGAAGGGCGCCGCGGAGATGGACGAGGAGGCGATCAAGAAGGAGTGGCTGAGGGCGTACATGGAGGCGTTGAGCGCCGCGGGGGCCGGGCCGGGCGCGGGACGAGCACCGACGATCTCCTCGCGGAGGCGATGGCGGTCGGGACAACGTCGGCGGCGACGACGAGTG